TCAGAAGAAAGGCCCTCGCCTTTATCCAGGTCTTTCAGCAGATCAGCCTGGTATGCCTGGAGCACCGCCATCATGTGCAGCGAAGCAACAGCCTGACCTGCTGCTGCGTATGCCCTGCCATTCAATTTAGATGTAGCTTGAAGAGGCACGGATGGCAAGGAGGGAGTTTTGAGAGACGATGTCTCACCCATAGAGAGATAGCTAGCTAGCGTCTCTTCTACAGGGGGCATTCTCTCATAGCCGTTTTTGCGCATCGCCTCGATATTCGCATAACTGGTATGCTGAAACTGATGGATGCGTGAGGAAAACGGCCTCTTCCATTCCTTCTCGATCTCAGTATGAAGATCAGGAAGGAAAGGAAGGCTCATCTGAGCTGGAGGGTTATGGCCAGAAAGATAACGGTCCTCGAGACGACCTCGCGACGCCACTTCCTTAGTCCGCTTCCACGGCAAGTCAAGACTTGCAGTAGCGCGATCCATAACCTCTAAGAGCTCATCATACGCAGGGCAGGAAGATTGAGAAGGCTCAGCCTCAGCTTCTTCACTCTCTTCATCCATTTCCTGCTCTTCCTGGGCTGGACCCAGCAGAGCACTGGCCCCTGGATCAGATGATTTTAAAGAGAGAACATCATCCTCCAGCGGCTGTCTCTCGCCAGCCGCCGATGAGCGCGAGAGGGAAAGCCCCTCTCTAAACTCCTCGGGCAGGTCCACCTGAGATCCTCACGAGCTCATTCTCCTCCGTGCCTCAGCAGCGGGTCCTGAACCGCGGGAAGTAGATGGCTGCCCCTCTTTACTTGAAAAGAGTGTAGCGTCTGCGTAGGATCATGCTGGAGTGTTGGACTGTTTATGGCTTAAAAGACCCTTTTAGCCTTTTGACATTTGCATATAAATTACAGTTCTGGTCAGAGATGTTACTTGTATAGGGGTTGTAAATTGCCAAATGGTTCTTCGCCGTCAAAAAGATTAGAACCAGCCCCCACGAGAATCCTGGAATCTTCTGATCAAAAACATTCCACAGAGAGCTGTGAATGGCCAAACGAACACGCACACACCCAAACTAACACACACACACACATACAGACATTTCTTTATTTTAGACTATAATTAATCAGTTATAATTGTATCTGGTATATGCATGTGGTGTGCACATTCCCTTTGTTAGACGAAGTTCCCATGAAAGGGAACCTACATCCATCCCATTCGATCATTCCTTTTTCTCTGGCCGCTTGTAGTACTTTCTCCCTGGCTGAGGAATGCAGAAACTTAATCCGAACTATTCTTGGTGGTCAATCAGCCTAGGAGTGAAAGCGTGATGCGCCCTCTCAATCTCAAACTCTCCATCCGGATCAATTCCCAGTCCCTCCGATAGGATTTTATACACGCACTTGATCATTCCACCTGCCTCCAGCCCCTCTTTCAGATCGATCATCCTCACGTTGTTGCGGCGGCTCCTGTTTTCTAAATCTTCAATTCGATTCCACATAAATTCCAGGCGTTTATCGTGCCGTTCGTCATAACCAACGAGCTTCGAGGTGACATCTGACATCCATGTTGGAGATGCGGCCCTCCGCTTTGTCCAACCTTTCTTGGATTGCATTCACCGAGTTTTTGAGATCGGTGACAACCTCTTTGATTGATGACACATCTGTCGCCACCCATTAGAGTTAATTTTACTTATTTCGGATAATACGTTTTCCATCTTTGAATCTTGTTCTTTCTGCTGGGGTGACGGCGACTCATGTGGCAGCGAGGTCTGTCTCATTGTCATGCGGCTCGTCGAAATCCCCTTAAAATACTTAGATGTGGAGGTTGACATCTGCTATCTAAAGCACCTTTTTATTCCACAAATATTTATGCTCACCAGGGATTAATAATAAAAAATTTTGTAATAAAAATGTGGAGTGAATATGCTCGGATAAATTGAAAATATTGGGGGGCCTACAGAGCTATACAACTATGCTGCCATCTTCTTCGGCGATCCCACGTGACTCCAATTTATTTTTATTAATCGTAACAATAACCATTTTATTTGTTCTTTTTGTTGTGCTACTACTGACACAAGACAGCAAATAAAAACAACAGCTGTAAAACAAAGCAACTGCATCATTTATTCTGCCGCAATGCACTGTCAGTGAGTAGCTATACTAAGTCACGAGAAAACCTAAATGAAAGGATCAAGTACCCCCTACAGTTCTTTTTTAGTTATTAGAACTCTCGTGTAAGTAAACTATACTAACTAAGCATTTGTCAGTATGACATACTATTCCTATTTCACAGTTTTTTTAAGGCAATCAGTTTGCATGCTTTTTTAAAGTATCCCCAAATAATTAGATTTTACAGTGTATGCAGTGTTTTTAACCACATAATGTTTATTTTAGGTTTCAGACATTTAAATACACATAAGTACTAGTAAAACAATACATTTAGAGTTTGTAAAATACACACATATGTCTATGGAAGCAACAATAACAATCCATTCAAATTTAATTTGCTGATGTGTTTTATTCATATCAGATATGTATAGTGTAAGTAACTATAAAGTTCACTCTATTCTTCACCCAGTTCACCGGCCACTTATTATTTGTATTTCGGGAGAAATTGATGAATTTACATGCTGTAAATCCGACTGACAGGACTCTGAACTGCAGCGCGAACAAAGGCACCCATCTCACGTTAAAGATCACGATCAAGTTCATTTGAAAGGTTTTTAACCCCTTAAGTGTCACCCGCCATTTTTGAACATAAATGTGAAAGTGCACTATCCAAACTTAAATTAATTAAATTAACTTAAATTAATGAACACTTCAAAGTTTCAAGATGTAGCGAAATATGTTTTGTTTTATCCTTTTGGTCTCAGGCTAATTAACATGTGCCCCTTTAGCAGTACTTGTCTGCGAGGTCTTAGCGTTATTAAGGTCTGCTCCTTTAGCTGCTCCCATCTGCAGGATCTCAGCCTGATCAGTGGTTGCCCCTCCAGCAGGACACTTCTCATTAGTGGGTTTCACTGCATCAGGATCATTTAGTGTGTTGTTCGTTTCATGAGTGGGTTTCTCTTCAGCAGCTTTATTCAGTGTGTTGTTAGTTTCATCAGTGGGTTTCACTGCATCAGGATCATTCAGTGTGTTGTTCGTTTCATGAGTGGGTTTCTCTTCAACAGGTTTATTCAGTGTGTTGTTAGTTTCATCAGTGGATTTCTCTTCAACTGGTTTATTCAGTGTGTTGATAGTTTCATCAGTGGATTTCTCTTCAGCAGGATCATTCAGTGTGTTGTTAGTTTCATCAGTGGATTTCTCTTCAGCAGGATCATTGAGTGTGTTGTTAGTTTCATCAGTGGATTTCTCTTCAGCAGGATTATTCAGTGTGTTGATAGTTTCATCAGTGGATTTCTCTCTATCAGCACCAATAAGGGGCCTTCCTTCTCCAACATTCTCCTGAAAGAAAGAACACAGATTCAAAGAAGGTAATACAAATGATTGTGAAAAAAATATTGATGATTCAGTTGCACTAAAACAGTTTTCCCCTCTACAATAAGCAACCTCTAAACTCTTAGAATATTTATTACATTTTAGTCTACTTCTTGTAAGATTGAGACATTTCAAATAATACATGACTGTGAATCAAGGTTATTTTCGTAAACGAAAACTAAAACTAAGACGAAAACGATTGATGAAAAAACTATTTCGTAAACTGAAATAAAATAAAAATGGCAAAATAATTCAAAAACTAAAATGAAACTAAACTAACAACACTTATTGAAAAACTAACAGAAATAAAATAATAATTATCAAAAATAAATAATCGTTTTAGTAATCATTACGTTCTCAACCCTTGGCGGAAAAATATATGAGCTGTGTTTTGGGGTTTGGGGAAATACCTGTAAATGGCGCATCGGGCACGTGAGGTTATCTGACAGAGAGACGCAAAGCAGTGTAAAGAGTCCTGCACGGGTCCTGTTTGGTAAATGTGCACCAGCAGTACTTAACAGAACACTCAACCCGTTTTCCAACTGCAGCACTAATTTAATTCTGTACCAGACCAGACCCGTTTGACATAAAGACAGCGAGTCGCGACCCGTACCGCACCCGCATTAAATCAGGTAGGCAAAATTATTTATTTTATCATGTAACACAAGCAATCAAACCAAAATTAGGCATTCTAATTTGGTGCTTTAAAGAAAAACAGGCACGCAGCGCAACGTAATAATTAACAAAAAAAAAGACAAGAACGCATCCTTTCTGAAAACAATACAAAACTTTAGCGTAGCATCTTGTGATCGCTCTGCCAGGCTTTCGGACAAATGTGCATAGGCTAAATCACATCATAAACACGCTTATAATTATTAATAAATGAAAAGAACATATTCAAATATGAGCCTCCCAGCCAACATGTATATGTGGGCCCCACATGGTTTATGCTG